ACAATATATCTCTATATATAGAAGAACGTACGCTTGTAGTTTAGGGTTCGTATCGGTAATGAATCAAATAAAAGTATTTCGTATCAAAAGAATTGAAAATTTTGCTAGAATATACATTTTATATAATGCTAAAACACATTGTACGTGTAGCTATAAAATATATGTAATGCGAAAATAAGCAAGAGTGAGATCATATTATATATGCAATGATCACATTAATAGAAATAAAATTGCACCATGTTTAAATGTATTCTAATAGGATTTCTACATAAACAAACATATTGAACACCTTGAACAAGGTTAAAGACTTAAAGACAACAATACTATCATAAAAAGGGATCGAAATTTCGAAAAAATCGTTCCTACCTCATGACGTAGTGTTCTTAGGGTTTTTCGCCACGGATTTGTGCACACGCACACACAATTCCCATATAATTGTGTGTGAAATTCGCGACCAATAGCCTAATTGGATCTACCGATGGAGTAGTCTCGAATTTACCGCAAACATCCCAAGTTTAAATGCTTTAAAGAATAACTAACAACTCATATAGACATACAACATTCAAGAGTAATGTGAAGTGGTACACAAAATATAAGTACAATTGCATGAGTAGGATATTTCTCTTGGCTCTTAGTTCCATCGGAATAGCCGAAAGAGGCGGGAAAATATGCGCCGTTTGATAGCTCCTCGAACGGGAGTCACAAATGACGTGCAGGGTTTCACGTGAACTCTGTTTTTCGGTGTTGTTTTTGAGGTATCCATGATTTTTTTTTTATTTTTTTTTTTGGTTGAGTCCTTAATTTGGATGTTTAGTTAAGGAGAGGATGTGAAATGTTGGTGATGTTATATACAAGTGTGGTGGGACATAAATTGTGAACACTTTGGTGTGTGAGGCTTAATTTCTTGGAAAGTTCTATTATGAAAACTATAGTCGGTTACGAACCAAAAAAAAAAAGAAAAAAACTATAGTCGGTTACGGCCTTACGGGTTACCTTTTTCCACAAAATCAAATATTTAAATTTAAATTATGTACCTATATACTTTACTTGTGAATAATAAAAATAAAAGTTGAGAATAAGTTTATGCATGATGTATCAACTATTAGACATAAGCACGAAAAATTCCAAATACAAACTAGTTAAAGTCCTCACACTTGAGTTGAGCATGACATCAAGATTCTAATTTTCCCCCTTTAAATTTATTGTCTACATATTTTGTTCATTTACATTTTCTCCCCCTCTTTAATTAAATTCTTTGAGTAGATCGTGTCATGTGTCTATGATTAATTACGGACATGACATGTTGAATGGTGTAAATGTGATTGCAAGCATGATAAAATTAAAATCGTGAGGTGGAATTGGATTATGTATATCTTTTGGTAAATCTAAGTTTATGAATCTTTGCTCGGTTGAGGAGGAAGAGTAAATTGAAGGTACATTCTCTTAGTTTTTTTTATATATTAAAAATTGAGGTGGACCGAATTGGACTTTTTATAAATTCTAAAAATGACTTTTCGACTTTTTAAAACTTCTAAAAAAACTTGAAATATTTTTATTCAAAACTTTTTAAAACTTCTAAAAAAACTTGAAATATTTTTATTTAGACTTTTTAAGATTTATTATTGAGATTAAAAATATGTAATAATTATAGCAATCACATCTCAAAACTTAAAATTTATAAGGCAATAATTGGATATGGATTTTTTTTTAAAGTGAGGATTTATCTATATCAAATCAAACCTTATGTATAAAGTGAGGATTTCCTCTATAGGGATTTTTTTTAACTCTCCTACATGTTTTGTCTTTAATTTGCATCTATACTACCTATATAAAACATATTGCATTAATACCTAACTCTACCAAAATAATTAGTGTTAGCCATGAAAATAAAACGGTCATATCCCCTTAATTTTTGTAACTAATGAGATTACATTTTCCATGATTTTCGGCTACAAAAAATAATAACTGTCTTTCCCCTTAAATAGCGCAACTGATTTGTAATATATTCAATCACTTTATTAAAATCAAATTATATTTTTTTCTCCTGTCAGTTAAAAAAAAAGGTATATATGCTATGAAGCCAACGGTTAGCTCCATAGTGGAGCCAAAATCACTTTATTAAAATCAAATTATATTTTTTTCTCCTGTCAGTTAAAAAAAAAGGTATATATGCTATGAAGCCAACGGTTAGCTCCATAGTGGAGCCAACTGTTGGCTTCATAACAAAACTGTATATATTTCATATATACTATACATATATTGATCATATACTGTACATATACCACATCACAGCACAAAACAATAGAGGCGCACGGTATAACCTATACATGTACCGATAATATACTGAATATAAACCATACATATATTGAATATGCTATACATATATTGATCATATACTGTACATATACCACATCACAGCACAAAACAATAGAGGCGCACGGTATAACCTATACATGTACCGATAATATACTGAATATAAACCATACATATATTGAATATGTATGAACCATATTCATTAGAGGCGCACTATATATACTGAACATTTATATTTTATTAAATATAAACCATACATATACCGCAAATATACTGAATATAAACGATACGTATAACAGTGGGAACGATACAAACACGATACAATATGAGGGGAATGAAAATATACCGAAAATATACTGAATTTAAACCATACAGAGGTGAAAAAAAATTCACACACACAAAACATCAAATCCAGATGAAATCATTGATCAAGCAGTAGAAAAAAAAAAAAAAAGGGTTTCTGTCGCAGCCTTATCATCCCCCACCTCTGTTCGTTTTTCACGAGCAGCCAATCAAAAAGGTCTATGCATGAGATAAAAATCGAATAATTCCCAGCCCTCGTTCGAATTTGCAGAGGCCGTTCTCTTTCGTTTCAAGCAAGCATCAGTCGTCTCCTCGTCCCTTCGTCCAGAAGCATCGAGCATCATCCATGCTCGTCGGCGTATAAGCAGACCATCGTGAGGGCGGTGCTAGGGGCGGCGTGAGGGATAAGGTTTGGCGGAGAGGAAGCAAGATCTAGAGAAGAGGGAGAGATGAGGGGAAACGATGGATCGGGTTTGGCGAGAGAAAGCGAGATCTGGAGAAGAGAGAGATGAGGGGAGACGATGGATAGGGTTTGACGAGAGAAAGCAAGATCTGGAGAGAGAGAGAGAGAGAGAGAGAGAGAGAGAGATGAGGGGAGTTATCATGTAAATAGGAATGAGAAGTTACCATGTAAATAGGAAATCAGATTTTTAGGCATATATGCAAATAAATATAACAAATTTAGTTAGTTTGTAAATAATTATACAGGAGATGTAATTATATAATATTCTCAGATTATTTAAGTGGAGGATGTAATTTCCTCTCTTAACATGTTAAATACCTTATAATGAGTACAAGATCGGACCCACATTCCTTTGAATTTATCCAGACTATAAAGGGAATCAACACCTAAAACTAAAAGCCCACTAAATAAACGAAATACTCCTTAAAAGGGATTATAACCCCAAACACAACTGATACTAATACGACAAAACAATTAAATACAATAGACGAGAAATACTCTTCTACCCACAGTGGGCACAAATTAATATGTCCACCACTTATGTGACATGTATGGGACATGTACACATTACCAAATATTATTTTCTCCAACAAATCCATACATGTCACATAAGTAGTGGACAAATTAATTTGTACCTACTGCCGGTAAGGGAACATTTTCCTACAATAGACACCGACAATAAAAATTACATAAAACATCTCGTGCTTCTCGGGACCGGAACTCGAACGGCTAACCAAACCGGGCACGGTGTCAAAACTCGAGCAAATGCCTATTATTTGTTTCTCTTTCGATTGCATCCTTAAATCACTTAAAATGTTCTAGATTATCCTTGAAAAAAATGTGTAAAAATACCTATTTTTTGTGTTAATTTGTAAACAACATATTTAAAAACACTTCAAATATTTGTTTTTTTTTTCTTTTCTAATATGCAATCTCCAACTTCATAAAATAAATAGAAACGTAAATATCTAATAATAAAATTGTAACAATACTTACAAATTATTTTAAAATAATGTGATAGAAAGAATAAATACGTCTATATAACATTATGTTCAATCCAACGATTACTTAATGAAAATGAATAATCATTCTGATACATTTTTATGATTACTTAATAAAAATAAATAATTGTAAAAGAACGGGAGTAGATAAAAATATTGTAAAAATATTATGTTTCCATGTTTTTATATTTAAACCTCATTATTTTTGTTTAATTTAATAGATTTTTTATAAAATGATGTAATATTGATATGTAATGACTCGATATAACAAAAAAAAATGATCAGTTGAAAAATGTTATCTTTAGTAACTATTTTTTATGAAAAATTTCACATGTTATTTTTTAAAAAATATTATAAAAATGTTCTTTTATAGATACATTTTATTTTATTTTATTTTCTAAAAAAAAATTATTCTTATTTTTTTAATAAATACTTAACTTTTTATATATTAATATTTTTTAAAAAAAAATTGGGAAAAAACAAAACCAATAAACAACTCCTATGATTTAAACACAGCTTCTCACCACGAAAAAGAGCTAATTTAAGTGAAGGGTATCTGTAGACACAAACCGCCGGCGCACCATCTCATGGCATCCTCCGGCGCCGGTTAGTTCCGCTTTCTCCGACGCACACTTCACATGATCAAAACAATTAATTTATGTTTTTGTGTTCATTTTTTCTTCAATTGCGAAGCTGATGATTGGGGGCTAACCCCGTGCTTTTAAACTGAAATTGGACTATTTCTTAAGCCCATGAATAGGAGCATAAATTGAAAATTGAAGTATTTCATCGCAAGCCCTTCAAAGTCCTTGAGCCGATTTTTTTCTTCTTTTTTGTTTATATATAGATTTGAAGTAAATTAATGGAATTGGGGAAAAAGCCCATGTCAGGTGTTGATTTTGTGAGTTTTGTGCTGATGAATGGTAATAACAGCAGATAATAGAGGATTGATTAAAGGGGATAAGCTGGTGTTAAGGGGTCTTAAGTTCCATGGGTTCCATGGAGTGAAGTCCGAGGAGAGGAAATTAGGGCAGAAGTTCTTGATCGATGTGGATGCTTGGATGGATCTTCAAGCTGCCGGAATTTCCGATTCTCTCTCAGATACCATAAGCTACACGGCCATATATAGGCAAGCGAGTAATATATGAGCCAGTTTGTTCGTGCAATTTATTACTACTTTCTTGATTTGATATTTGGGAGTCGCCTAAATTTGTTATGAATGGGATTTGGAGTTTCTGTCCGTGCCTTTCGATTGAAGCATTTGAGTCGATATACAAATTGTTAAAAGTACGGATCTTTTGTTGTGGCTTTTTGTTTCTATGGCAATTGACGTACTGATTTGTAGGGTGATAGTGCAGCATAGTTAGTGAAATTGTGACATTCAAATATTGTGTTGCTATTTTTTTATTTTTTTTTTCTTTTTGCTATGGCAACTAAGCATGTTGATTTTCGGTGCGAAATTGCTGCATAGAGAAAAATCATGATAAATTATAAATCTTGTGTTGGTTTTCTGTTTCTATAGCAACTGAGCCTGCTGATTTGCAGGGTGATATTGCATCATAGTAAGTAAAATTGTGATAAAGTTCAAATCTTGTGTTGGTTTTTTGTTTATATAGCAATTGAGCATGTCAATTCGCATGCCAAAATTGCTGCAGTTCAAATCTTGTGTTTGTTTTTTGTTTCTATAGCAACTGAGCATGTTGATTTGCGGTGCAAAATTGCAGCATTGATAAAGTTCAAATTTTGTGTCGTTTTTTTTTGTTGTTTGTTTATATGGCAACTGAGCATGTCGATTTTTGGTGCGAAATTGCAGCCTAGTTAGAGAAATTGTGGAGGGGACTCCACATAACCTTCTGGAATCCGTGGCTCATACGATTGCATCAGCAGTGTTGAGCAAATATGCGCAGGTCTCGGCTGTGCGTGTGCAGGTGGGGAAGCCTCATGTGGCCGTGCTAGGGCAGGTTGACTACTTAGGAGTCGAGATTACCAGACAACGCGAATCTGGTTGAAGAAAGCTTTATAAGTTTGTACTAAAGGCTTTAGCCGTGTTACTTTTCGTTTTTTTACGACTTCGGCTTGTACTAAAGGCATTAATCGTGTTACTTCTAGTNTCCATAATAACTAAAACTATGAGTATATAAACATTTAAAAAAAAAAAAAATACACAAGCATCAAAACACCAATAGTGATATTCTGCAGAACACAATTTCTTTCAGTTGAAAAAAACAACTCGATGAGAACAACACCAGCATCGTACATTAACGAAGTGATAGTCGAGTCAAAAGGCAGTTACAAGCAGCAGTACTATGAAGATGACAAAAGAACATGAAAAATGCTATCTTCGGTCCTTTGATATCACAGCAAAAACTCCCCTACCAAGACACTGATTAATGAAATAACACAACAGCTCATATAGCCATAGCGCTCGACTCATGCCTTCTGGCTTTGCCCTTGCGGTCCCATACTGGCGTGGTCTCGATGAGCTTATGTGGCACGAGCCGTTTTTCTCTCTTGGTCAGCTTGCGGAAATTTCTCACCTTCAGCTTGGCTATCTCGGCCTCCTCCTCTGGCGTTATCTCTCGAAGTACTACAGTCAGCCTACACTCTGGCCGTACTTTTATTCCGCATTTGCCCTTGGCGTGGTATGAAATCCTCTTCTTGAACAGCCCTTTCCCAACAAACGCCTCGGCTATTAAAAAAATATCGAGATAAATGAGAAGCAGTGTCGACAGTGTTGACGCAGATGACATGAAAGAAAATAATAATAATAATAATAATAATAATAATAATAATAATAATAATAATAATTTATGATTATTTACCAACTAGAAGACGGTCAGGGTCAAATCCGTAATTGTGTGTTGCATTGGCTCGAGCTGAATGTATGACCTGCACACATGTAATTTCATTTTACCCACAGGTTCGTTTGTTTTTTGTTCAAATCAGATGACTTTGAGCGTGTACATGTAATTTCATGCAGAGGTTCGAATTATCTAGCTAAAAAAATGAAAAAAAAAACCTAATTTTGAAAAAGCAAAAACTTTCTACCCCTTAATAATGTACTGCTGTTTATGAAAAAATGTCAAAGCCAACTGTACGTAAAGCCATGAAGCTAAGAGAGAAATAAGAACATCACTGAATTGGGATATTAATTGAAGCTGTGGAAAAGAAAACCAACCCGATAGACGGTTTTAGCAGCTCTTTTAACTGTCACTTGCAACTGCAACAATGCATCTTCGACTCGCATTCCACGGACCAAGGCAGCAACCAAGTTCACCTTCTTAGGACTCTGCAATTAACCATGTCTTAATAATTTGATATTAAAAAAAAAAAGAAAAAAAATTCATTTGGAATAATATTTTTGGGACATTTACAGTGAGTTATCACATAGTCCACAATCAGTCAAGAAAACATAGCCACCAAGAGATAACTCAGCCACTCAACACGGTTTCCTGAATCTCCTTTAGATTCTTGGCAAATTGTGCTAGTTAACTTATTAATTAACACCAAGCAAGATTGAATAGAGTTATTAGCTATTAAAACTCCTAAACAATGAGTTTCAGGAGCTTTTGCAACGGTTAAAAATATGATGGAGAATACCTGTTTTATACTTTTAAGTATCGCTTGAACTTTTTCAGGTTTAGTAATGGTCTTTTGAGTTTCAGTGCTACCAGCACCTGAGGGTAGAGCTGGTATTAATGGTGAAGAAACTGGAGTTGCATCTGACGAGTCAGCAAGTAAGTTCCTTGTGCTTGTGAACTCCTGTCAAGCATAGGTTTTCCCAAGAAAGGAAAATTAAATACTAAAACAAAACTGATCACTTGCCGAATTTTTTTTTCTCCAATTAGTTAAGTAAAGGCTGAAGAGCAAGGAAAATATACAATCAGTCATCTGTAAAACAAGCATTCTCTTGAAAATCCAATCAACTAAAGGGGGATTTTATAACTCTACATCACATTAGTAATAAAAATATAATTTTTTTTATTTTTATTTTTCACGTACATAGTGTTCAAACTCATTGGTACGAGGTACCTATTAAAAAAAGGTTGTTTTAAACATCCAATTAAATGCACTTTCAACCAATTCCTAAGAAACCATGCCAAACATAATTATATTAATAGCAACTTTTGAGTAAAAAAATGTCAAGGTTCTCATGGTCTGACCATTTTCTGTAGATACTGGTACAGAGGACTCAAAGTTGTAGGAAATTGCAAATTATGCAGCCTCGACAAACTAGGCACCTCACCTGCAAAGGTTTCATTATTAATCAACAAATTAACTTTGTAGAAAGTACACGTCTAGATATTTTGAAAGTATATCTGACCAAATTGTATATATAATGGAAGAAATAAAATACTTTATTGAACTCAAATAGCAAATTACCAGATACAATACCAGCCTTTGCATGACCAAAAGTACTGAATGAAGCTGTGCCACCGCACTCGTATTTTTTCACGAGACGACGTACTAATGATTGCAAATGTCTCTGCCAGCCCGCCATTTTTTTTCTAAATATAAAAGAATTCTCGAATAAAGATTCTAGTAATCCACAGTATCAAACTATCTGCACACCATGATGACACAAACTTGAAAACTTAACAAGAAACTATAACTAAAATGAAGATAGCAGAAAACCGTTGCCATGTCCAACAATAAGCATTTGATGAAAAAAATAATAATTAAAAGTCATTTAGTCGAATAAGTAATCTACAATATCAAACTATCTACAACCCATGATAGCACAAGTTTCAGAAAGTGTCAACAAAATACAACATAAATAAACATAACATAAAATAACAACATTGTCGTGCCTAATAATAAATTAATAATATCATGTCCAGAAAAGAATAAAGAGTCATTCAGTCGAACACCTTGCAGGCATGACAGTAACGTACTGTACTCACCCACAAGCTCACTCGTATCATTCCCAAAAGTAGGTCTTAATCTCTACGAACAACCTATATAAAACAAACATGTTCGGAACAACAATATCTGAACCAACAAGTAAAGAGAGCTGCTTTAATTTCTTCCCAACCCTCAAATAAAGCTTATCATCGGCACAATTACGAATTATTTCTTCATGCATTCTTACAGGAAAAAACAAGAAACAGCTTCCCAGAAAACTACACATTCAATTAACCTAATAATTGATCGAAATACAAATGAAACAGATGAAAAATTAAAGACCGAATTTTTACGG